ATTATAGTGTGGAGAAGGTGAATACATTATATTCAGAATAAATATGGAACTTTAAAGTTCCATTTATTTATGATTTATAATTATTATTTATAGATTCTTATAATATTTGATTTATAGTAGATTTATTTATATTATTATTTTTTTTTGGTTAAGTTTAGTGTGAGTTAAGGGTAATGTATGAATTTGTTTATTGTATAGAATTTTTTTATTTTAAAAGTTATATATTGTGTTAGTTTTGTTTATAATAACCCTGTATTTTGCTCTGGAAAGTGGGGTGGGGGGGAGGGGAGGGGGGGATTAAGTATATATAGAAATATTAAAGTAAGAAATAGATGGAGTAATTTAGAGGGAGGTGCCGCTCGGGTGTTTCCCCTGAATTGTATCCGAAGATGGATAAGAGGCGAGGAAGAGGGAAGGAAGGAAGTTGGAAGGGAGGAAGGGATGAGGGGAGAGAGGAAAGGAGAGAGGAAGTAAGGAAGGAAGGCTGAGAGGGCGGACGCAGTCAGGGGGAGATAGACGAGCGACACCTAAGGTCTTATTTTAAAGGTATTTTTCTCTTTTTTTAAGTTTTATATATAATGTATGGAAAGTATTATATGTATTGAAAATTTAAATAAAATTTTGAAAAAAAAACAAATTCTTATAGTGAATTTGTATTTAATATTCTTTTATATGTACTTAATTTAATCTTCCTAAATTTCATCTTCTTTTCTGGCTCTGTTCATTTTAATTGATATCTCTTTTAGCCATTTAGACTTGGGGAACCTTTAAACTTTAACTTTAAAAACTGGATGCTTCCTGCTTTTTCAGTCCTTGTTCTTTTGAGGCATTTCTGGTGCTCATTAAATTCTGGACTTTTTAACTTTAGAATACAGATAGGAAGCAGAGGGCAGACAAAAGTATTCCTTCATATCCATGTTTTTCTTGTAGTATGGCAGAATACAAATACCACTTGATATGGTATTTCACTGTAGTCAAGACATAAAGGAAGGAGAGATCATTTGTTTTCTAGATTTGAGATTCCATTGTAATTCAATTAATTATATACAATTATATATTATGTGAAGCTTAATGGATATAAGACAAGAATGTTTCTTGTAAGCCAGAAAGCAGATAATCTGTGCTGTAGTGTAGAGGCTTTAGTATGCACATCTTCTCTGTAAGAGTCAGTTTCATAATTGAAAGATACTGTTAGATTCAGCTCAGTCTGAATTCCTAGATTTGATGCTGAGTAAAAGCTGATTTAGACTTGCCCACAGTTGCCCATATCATTGCTGCATAACTACGCTGTGAAGGAGTTGATGGGTGAACATATATTGCAGAGGGCGGCAGACAGGCCAATGCAAACACTTTCCAAATCCCAAGTACCTATTGTGTGGGGATGCATGTCTTGCATGCTGATTGGTTGATCCAACTTCCTGTTCTGTGCTTTGCTGTTTGTGGACTTCCTAACCAGAGCCTTAAAATTTGTTAACATATAAAAAGGCCTATGTAGCCATCCCCGAATGACAGACCCATACATTTATGTGCAGTGGCAGAGAAGTCTGCTCAAGCCTTAAGCCTGAATCATGCAGCAAAGGCTAGTGTGGTAACTGGTATATTTCCAGAAATGTCATATACATTGATGCTTGTGTTCTCACAGATATTTTCAACCTCTCATTGCAGCAGGCAGTGGTCACATCATGTTTTAAGACGGCCATCAACTTGCCAGTGCCCCAAAAGTCCACAATTATAGGCCTCAATGATTACCATCCGGTTGCACTGACATCCACCATCATGAAATGCTTTGAGAAGCTGATAAAGGACATTATTGTATCCAGCCTCCCGCCAGCATTTGACCTGCTTCAGTTTGCCTACCGACCAAATCGCTCTATGGAGGATGCTATTTCTTCTCTTCTCCATCTGAGCTTGAAGCACTTAGAGGAAAGAAGTACTCATGTGCGTTTGTTGTTTGTCGACTTCAGTTCAGCGTTTAACACAATCATTCCCCTGCATCTAGTAGACAACTGGGCCTTTTAGGCTTAAACACTCCTTTGTGCAACTGGATTCTTGATTTTCTTACCAACAGGCCCCAATATGTGCAAGTTGGAACAAATACCTCTAAAACCATTTTCTTGAACACAGGTTCTCCTCAGGGCTGCGTCTTAAGTCCGCTGCTGTTCACCCTGTTGACCCATGACTGTTGTGGTAGGTTTGCCACCAACCATATTGTGAAATTCGCAGACGATACAACAGTAGTGGGCCTTATTCAGGATGACAAGGTGGAAACTTACCGCAAGGAGGTAACCAAAGAGATCATTGTTGATTTCAGAAAAGGCAGGCACAACCACACTTCTCTGTGCATTAATGATTCACCTGTGGACATGGTTACCAGCATGAAATTCCTGGGTGTGCAGCTAACGAGTAGGCTGGCTTGATCGCTCAACAGTGAGAAACTGGTAAAGTGGACACAGCAGCGCCCACATTTTTTGTGTCGCATGAGAAAAGCACATCTTTCTTCCCCTGTCTTGACCACTTTCTACAGGGGGACGATTGAGAATATTCTGTCATACAGCATCACAGTCTGGTTTGGAAGCATCACTGCTTCAGACAGGAAGGTGGTGCAGAGAGTGGTGAGAATGGCCGAAAAGATCATTGGCAGTTCCCTCCCTCCCATCCAGGACATAGCACAGAAGCACTGCTTGAGGAGGGTCCATAAGATTATCTGGGACACTACACATCCTCTCCATGACCTGTTTTCCTTGTTACCTTCTGGGAGGAGGCTTCGTGGTATCCGTAGCAGAACATCCAGATTCAGCCATAGTTTCATTCCATACAGCATTAACCTTGTGAACTCTCAAGCTTCCTCCTTCCGTTATATATTCAAGATGGATAGTATTTAATATTTATTTGCTATGTATGGGTAGGGCACAGGTCGGCAACCTGCAGCTCCGGAGCCGCATGCGGCTCTCTGAGCCTTCCCCTGTGGCTCCCAGCCTCCTCTGCCTTTGCAGAGAGAGACAGAGACAGAGAGAGGCAATTGCGCTTCCCTGCTTCTCTCTCTCTCTCTCTCTCTCTCTCTCTCTCTCTGTGTTTTTTTTTTTTTGTGTGTGTGTGTGTATATGTGTAAAAGAGAGTGCACTCACATTGTTCTCCGAGGAGCTGAAAAGCTTTCTGGGTGGAGCTCCTCCCTTTGCTGCGTCTCAGCAGGAAGGGCAGGAGAGAGCTAGCTAGCCCAGCTAGGCTGACTCAGGAATTCTGGGAGTTGAAGTCCATGAGTCATAAAAGAGACGAGGTTGCCTACCCCTGAGATTGTTGGAGAACAACTTGAAGCTTGCCAGGTGAGCAGCAGATGGGGGGGGAGAAAGAGAGAGAGAGAAAGAGAGAGAGAGAGGGAGGGGGAGAGAGAGAGGAAAGAGAGAGAAAGAAAGAGAGTGGGGGAAGAGGAGTGGCAGACCAAGGGCAGAGAGGGAGGGAGGGAGAGAGACAGAGAGACCCTTTTGACATCTAAAATGAAGATAACACTGCATATATCCTTTTTTTTACCTGTGTGTGTATGTAATTTTATTCTCTTAAAGCATTCTCTCGGTGATCATTGTTTTAATAGTATGGATATTCCCAAGAGTCATATTTTTACTTTTATTTTTAATGTGTGTGTGTGTGTGTGTGTGTGTGTGTATACACACACATACACAAACACTCTCTCTCTCTCTCTCACACACACACACACACAAACACACATACACACCTATAATAAAGATAAAAAAGGATATATGCAGTGTTATCTTCATTTTAGATATCAAAAGGGTTTTGCGGCTCCCGGTGTTTTGTTTTGTGTGGGAAACGGGTTCAAGTGGCTCTTTGAGTGTTTTGGGTTGCCTACCCCTGGTGTAGGGTGTAGGTCTATAATATGTTATACATAGTATGTTTAGGTGTGTGTCATGTATATTTTACTTTGAGAACGGGCAACTAAATTTCATTTTTGATGTGTGCCATTGTGCCCACAGTAAAAACATGACAATAAAGGTTATCTTATCTTATCTTATCTTAATAGATGTCTTAGTTATGTCATGGCTAAATTAGATATGCAACTTATCTTGATTAATGTCTGTTTTTTTTAACAGGCACAGCTTACAATCGATTCTCATTTGTGAAACTGTTTTTAGATCATATCCTTTATGATTCTGCCTAAGCTTTAAGATCTACAGGTAAAGCTGATCCTGTCATTTTGTAAAATACAACAGCTTTCAATGGCGAAATCAGATGAATGTGCATTGGATTATGCTAAGCACTTTATGCACCAACTTCCCAGTCTGCGAACTGGAGCAGCTGATTCTGTTTTCTACCAAGCACCTCTGTATATGGCCATTTGGAGGATGAGTGGTACTACTGCCATCTCTGTGAAAGAAGATATGGGAAGCACCCACACAAAGCCCCTCCTGTCTCGGATGGTGAGTTTTCTTGGGCCTGTGGCAATGACCCTTGATCAGCAGAGGTGCATCTCTTGGGAGGGGCCTTCTATATGGTATTTTCTATTCCCTGCTAATGAAAGTCAGGCTTACTTCCTGTTTGCTAACTTTCCATCAACATTTTATGGAGGCAAAGTGTTTGTTGATAATTAGCTAATGCTAATTAAACAATTAAATTAGTTGAACAAGTTCTGAAAAAGGAACAGCTTTTCAAAATTTATCCTGGAGAACAAATGGGAGTCAATTATTTAACTATTTCAGAATAATTAAATTTCACTAGAATTGAATAGATTTGGAATGAACTAAGAAAGAGAACCACAAGATTTCTTGAGTTTGATTCTCGTGTGGATGCCGCTTCCAGAAGTCCATTCTGGGCCTGTGCAACAAAAAATTAGCTACCCTTTCTGCAGAACTGATGCAAACTGGGACTATGTAATAAAAAACGTACGCAGATTTTTCTGTAGAGCTTTAGAAAACAGTGCATTCTGATCCCTCTGCTAATTATTCATAAATCACAAGAATTTAAATAGGTTTCATGTCCATGTCATTTATTTGCAGTTATATTTAATGTATAGTTGTCTTACAGGAAGCAAAAGTTAATTATTTTACAGTCTCATTCTTGTTTGTTAAAGTAATTGTTAATAACTTTTAAAAATGTCATGGAAAAAATGGTTGAAATCTGCAAGTCTAATTGACAATTTTTGTAATATAAAGTAAAACAATTCCTGACTTAAATTAAGAAATCTGCAAAAGATAAGCATTTTGAAGTGTACCCAAGAGTTGTTTTCAGTAATTCTTTTATTTCCTGAATGTGTAAATCCTGTCGGTGTGGTAGGAGGAGATAGGTTAGGGCCCACCATTGAGTAGTACCACAGAGCTCATCCCTCCTACTTAACATTTAGATGAAGCTTCATATTTTCTAAGGGTGTGACCAGTTTATTACATGTTCAAGAGTTATATAAGTTTGTTAACTTTTCCTGTTTTTGTCAAACAGCAGATATTGATAAAATAATAGCCAACATGGTGTACTGGTTACAATTTGAAGATAGGAGACCCAAGCTGAAACCCATCCTTCATCAGTGAAATGTACAGAATGACTTTGAACCATACAAAGTGACTTTGAACCAACCATACTCTTACTCCATCCTAAGTTGTAAGGTTCTGTTGTGGGGATAACATGAAGGGACATTACATGTACAGATATCTAATGGAAACCACAATGCTTCAGGATTAATTTCTTCCCATCCCCAACAACCTGTGACTTCAGTTTTCTCACCTAAGCCTGCCTTGAGTTTTTAGAATAAAACCAGGATACAAATCTAACAAACAAATAAAACCTGTTACAACTTTTACCGAAGTGGGGTCATTATTAGTATGCAAAGTATTTTAATAATAAAAGACCTCTATTATCAAAATCATATTTAAATAGGAACTGTGGGCACATGTAATATCGAGGGGGAGAAAGTTAAAAAATCAGCTAAAGATTAATTTGCTCCAATTAAATCTTTATCCCACAGTAAAATTTAGTTATATTTATATTTAGATAGCTAATATTCACTTTGAAAAGAGGGGAGGAAAATCCAGATATCAATGAAATAAATAACAAAATGAATTTTATCATGAAGATCTGAATAATGTACCTCAGTTTTTAGATTCATGTAAAATTTTATTCTATAGATATTAGGGCTCTATTTTGCATAAGGTATTTTTAATCTAAATACAGTATCTTCAGCATATAAGGAATCAAATCTATGATGCTTGCCAATATTTCTAACAGCTATTTTGTCCATAGAACATATTGATAATATAACAAATCTGGATACAATAGAATTACCTATAAATGCATCTGAAAGTCCCACCTTGCAATTTCTATAGCCATAAACTATCCATTTGTGATCCATTTGGAGTTACCATATTATCTAAATATGGTACAATACTTCATTTAGCCAAGACAAGCTGCAGAGAGAAATTTAAAAGAATGGATTTACTTTAGATGAGCCAGAAGTTTTGATTATCTGGAAACTATAATATAGCACATAGGTAGTTTGCAGCTGTTACTAATATTTGCAATAAAGCTAGGCTTGTTTTGTTGCTAGAATATGGCCAGCTTGTCCTCTTCCAATTACTGATGGGCATGAAATGTGAAGTGAGAAAACTTACAATATAAACTTCCCCTATTCACAAGCCTTACCTCAATATTGAATGGATCCAGATTCTTTACAAATCTGATTTGCCGTGCCTTATGATCATGATACTGCCAGCAATTCCACGCTTCTTTTTGTATTTAATTGCGTTCTTCCACATGTACTTTGCGGCAATCACCACATGGCATTAAATAGAATGGTTTAATTTTATCAGCATCTGAATAATCCTGATCCCTCTTTACATTAATCATAACTGTACTATGCCTAAATAAATAACCCTAAGAATTGTTCTAATAAATCTTGAATAGCTTATTGTAAAATAGGCTTCATCTGTCCATTTCTTCTGATTAATATAGAACAATTCATAAAAACATTATGAACAATTTGATCTTCCTGAAATGGGAGAAATTTTAGCTTATTTTTTGCTATCGGTAGCTAGCAATCCCATTTTTTCATTTAAAACAAGTTTCTTATTACACTGAGTAATTTTCATAGTATTGGCCATTGTTTGGGTTGTTATCTATTTGAAAATCAAGTACAATAACTAAAAAATGTTAAAAACACAGGGATGAACACGAGACCATGAAGAGTCCCAAATGTAATAACAAGAAACATTATCTTAAAGCAAGTTCTAAAGACATATGAGGTTGCCATAGAGAGAATGAAAACTCCTACAAGGGTAGAGGCAGATGCTTGCAGAACTGGGTAACCAAGGTAGAAAAGAGCACTTATTGCCTTTTCATTTGCACTGATTTTATTACTAGAAACATAGGCATAAGATATGTGAGCAGAATAGTCTACAGAAAATCCTATGCAAATAACAAGATTGATCATAGATATGGAATCAAGATTCACATCCCAGAAGGCCATGTAACCAGACACACCTACAATCACAGAGCCAATAGTAAAAGTTACCCACAAAGAGCAAACAGGACTGGGAATCAGGAGCAAAGAAATAATTAGCATAGCTCCGGCTGCAATCAGAACATTTTGAATGGTATTCTGATTTATAACAAGATACTGATCAAAATGTATAAAAGCTGGATGATAAACCATTAGTGGTATCTTACATTTTTTAGCAATACGTCTTAGCTGCTTTAAAAGATTTTTCTCATCCACTGAATTTCTAACATTTACGGTCTGTATAAAGAACCGAGAAGCTATTATTTCTTTTGCACTAATGTTAATATCCCACCGAGAGTTAGAAGGTTCTCTGAATAGAACAGGTAAATTTGTAATGAATACATCATGATCATTTAAATCTAGAGACATCTTTTTAGCAACATTTTCATAAATTCTCAGCCACGACTCTGAAAAATTCTTTTCCACAAAGTATGAATGTTCTAAAGTTTTCATACATTTCTCAAGTTCTGCACGAACAGATGGATCCCAATACATTATACTTTTAGTAACTATTACCATAACCCTTGGACCATATGTTGAAAGATATTCATCTTCAAAGTTGTAATATGGAATGATATAAGAATCATCTGTTGCTATATTTCGAAGATCTATACCCTCTTGAAGTACAAAGCATCCAAATAAACTAGTTGCTAGGTATGTGAAATATAGCAATACCACAAATACCTTAGTCCAGCTGTACATAAGAAAGGGACCATAATACTTTCTGAAGAAAGAATTCATTGGATGTTCAATCTCAGTTCCAGTAGCTTCATCATAAAGTCCTCCTGTGCAACATCGGTTATACATACGGCCACGGGAATCTTGGGGCTCCGAAAACACTTTCATGAATGTCAGCCAATGCCTGTTACTTTTTTCTCTTCTACCATTTAGAGCTAGAACAGCTCCAAGAAATGTCAGGTTGTATATGTAGCAAAAAATGAAGGCTGTTCCTGTATAGATACAAAATGATCTAATTGATGGAAAGGAAGTTGCAATTCCAATGTAGAAAGCTAAAACATCTGTCATAGTTGTGATAGTAACTGATACAGCTGCTTCTGAATAAGTGTTAGCCATCCGGTCTTTGACACTATCCTTTACTTTTGTATGCTGCCAACAGGATACCAGGATGAACATATCATCTACACCAATTCCTGGAAAATGGTAAAAAGAGGAGTCAGTTTTCACATGACATAAAAAGAGCAAATTACACAAGGAACATGATTAGCAACTCATATTTTTTAAGATAACAAATACTGAGATTCATCAACCTGTTCAAGATCAATTCAACAGCTCCAGTATTTTCACAGTGCAGGAAGGAAAACAACCTGAGTGGCTGTCTAGTTATAGGGAGGAAAACATTTCATACCCAAGAAGGTCCTGTCTCACATTTGTATGCCGTCATGTGGTACAGACAAAAACAATGCCCAGGAAAGTACAGGTAGTCCTCGACTTATGACCACAACTGAGCCCCAAATTTCTGTTGCTAAGCAAGACATTTGTTAAGCAAATTTTGCTCCATTTTACGCCAGAGTTGTTAAGTGAATCACTGTAGTTGTTAAGTTAGTAACATGGTTGTTAAGCAAATCTGGATTCCCCATTGATTTTGCTCATCAGGGCATAAAAGGTGACCACATGACTTGAGAACACAGCAACTATCATAAATATGAACCAGCTGCCAAGCATCTGAATTTTGATTACGTGTCTATGGATGCTGTGTGAAAAATGATCATAGGTCACTTTTTTCAGTGCCGTTGAAATTTCAAATGGTCACTAAATGTTGTAAGTTGAGGACTACCTTTATATATAGGCAGCAATGCTTCTCAGATACTGAGATGTCAAACAATTTGTATGTTACTAAGACGATACCAGGATAAATATGTGATGAAACTGAATTTGAGAATAGCAAAACAGATTCAGTTCATTTGTGTGAAAGGGAAAAATATCAGAGAAACTGAATAAATATTTAATTTTATTTATATCTAGTTTTCAAAGCAATACATAAATAAAGCCAAAATAATTATTGTTCTATATTTTGCAAAGAATCATAAAGACTAGATGAGGGTTCCGTAATCTACAGTTCTATTGAAGCATACTACTGATCAGATTTTTTTTCCTCTAGCTGTCACTGGCTTGTAATTTTTGAGATGACATAAGTAACTACTGAAATTAATAAACATATACAGAGTATTATATAACTATTTAAGCAATATAATTAAAAACAAATGCAATACAATTTATTTTTTTATCCTGGATTATGCACTTATTTCTGTTTGCCTTTATCTTATTGAATCCTGAAATATACTGAAACCACAGTTCAAGAAAACTTACAAATTACACCTGGGTACACACAGTATCATAAAATCCTTTTGAATATAATATTTGAATAGAAGACAATCAACATATATATCTAATCTGAATACAATTTGTTATTGAAGGGAAAAAATCTAATTCAATAGTGAAAAGTAAGGAAAAAGAAAAAGCACATCCAATATGGATCAAAGTAAATGGATAATGAAGGTGGAAACGGTATGGCCAGAATTAAATATTAATGATACAGATGAGAAAAGTTTGTCAGACTTTGTGTAGGCAGATTTAAATAAAAGAAAAGAAAGAAATCACCAGTGTGGTAGAATTCATGAGTAACTGTCATCTCATAATGAGATGTTCATAGAAGTATATACAATTGAGCTCAAAAAGGATTATATTATGTCAGGGAAAAATATTTCACATATAAGACTGTAATCTTAGGACAATCTTTTGAAAAAACTACAGAGAAATCTAGAATAGCTATCAGAACTAAGGAGAAATATAATTGGGAGAGATGAAAATTCTAGCTCATACATGTTGAAAACTCAAAGGAAAATATACATTTATTACCTACCAAGTATAAGAAATGGTGAATTTGCAGCAGTGATGACAAATGGGACTCCAGAAAACAACATTAATCCAAAACTGCTGATAACAGATAAGCCTGCTGAAAAAACTCCAAAAAATGCAACCCAGAGTTTTGTTCGGACACAATCTAGCCTATAAAAAGGATGGAGAACAGTTGAACACTGTAGATTCTGAATTTTATTTTGTATTTCTAACATCTCCCAAACTGAACAGAGAACTCACATGCAGGTATTAAATATTAAAGAAAATGTATAGAATTTGTAAAAACAAATATATACTTAATTTTAGAAATGGAAACTTATATTCTCAAAAATATATCAAGTTGCTTAAAGTAATGAAAATATTTCACATAATTATTTGTAATTCTGATCATGAAAAGAACTCAAAGGAACTGTATTTCTGGCATTTCCCTGCACAGAATTCACACAATCTCGCATTTCACATAGGTTTGTGGTAAAGCCAACTTATTCATAGTAATACATCCACTGATCTCTTGATAAGAGGAAATGCCGGCTGACTACATTCAAAAATATCGGTGTGTATTTAGGACCAAACAACATTAATTTCAATGAGACCAACTTTTAAGCATATCTGTGTAGAACTGTGATGACAATATATATTTCACCCATCTGTAATAATTCCAAAAGTAAATTCTTGTGAGGAAATGTAAAAAAATTACATTTTTTCCCCAAAAGATGAAGTGGAAGTTCTTCCTTTGACTCACATTAAATGAAAGAGAGAGGGAAGATCCAAAAGACCACTAAATAAGTGTTAATGGCATGACATTTTGGGGGAAAGCACATTCTTTTTAAGGGCACTGTATAAACAGAAGCAAAAATAAATAAAAACTTGTTTGCAATGAGATTTGCAACTTTCTGTTACTTTAGCAAACATAATTTTTACCTTCACCATAATTTAATTTTTTTATCTTCATAACATTTCTTGATTTATTGTACCTAGTTGGGCTGACATTTTCCTTCAGTGCCTGCCTTCTTCATTCATTACTTATTCATGTCACATCATATTTTGGCTAAATAACTTATATCACTTGCATAATCTGGCCACAAATCTAAGAAAAGAGCTAAGATTCCATTCCTTGGGATTGGGATAGGCTAGGATTATGGAAAGGCAAATATACCATATCTACATGTGCATAATTTCTCTGCCTATTTCTAACATGAACATCTGCTAATTAACAGACAAACTAGGGCTCGTCATGTAGTAATTGCATCAATTGATACAGTCCTATTGTTTATAATTATAGACAATACTGGGGAATACTGTAAGTCTTTAGAGGAAAAAGAATTACATACTGTTAAGGCTACATATTATGTAACTCCTTGGAAGTAAATTACAATAATCATTGATTTATAACAGTTTAGTGACCTTTCGAAGTTACGACAATGAAAAAAGTGGCTTATGATGATTTTTCACACTTATGACTCTTGCAGCATGGTCATGTGGTTTACATTTGGATGCTTGACAACTGACTCACATTTATGACAGTTGCAATATCCTAGGGTCATGTGATCATCTTTTGCTACCTTCTGACAGCCACATTCAATGGGGAAATCAGATTCACTTAGCCACCATGTTACTAATTTAATAACTGCAGTGATTCACTTAGCAAATGTAGCAAGAAAACTCATAAAATGGGGTAAAACTCATTTAACAAATTTCTCACTTAGCAACATAAATTTTGGGCTCAATTGTGGTAATATGTTGAGGACTACCTGTATATTGAATTCTATTTCTGAATGACTTTATTTTTAAGTAGTCATGCTGTATATTAGATTATACTGGCAGGACATTTTTTATTAGCCATGCAGATAGTTCTTGATTTACAACTTGTCACTTAATGACCATTCAACATTGTAAGGGATCTCCAAAAATATTTACAACCTGTTTTAAAATTATGATGGCGCATCCGCCCCTACAGTCACGTGATTGCATTTTGGGAACTTAGCAACAGCTCATCTTTATGGCTATTTGTAACATTTTGCAGTCATGTGACTACAATTTACAACATGTTTTCCTGGTTTCCAACATTTATTTCCAGTTTCAGGCAAAAAAAAAAAAAAAAAAAAACACTCACTGGAAAAACTGATTTGTTTAATAATTGTAGTATTTGCTTAACAACTACCATGTTCACTTAATGAATACGATGTTCACTTAATTACTGCAGCAAAAAATGTAAAAAAAAGCAGGGGGTTTGGTCATGTGATGCCTCATCTTATGTCTATAATTCAGGGCTCAATTACTGTTGTAAGTCAAGGTCTCCCTATACAATTGAAAAATGTTAATGGAAAGTATATTCTTTTCTCACAAAACAAGTACAATGTGATAGTTTTTGCATTTCCATTTTTTTAATATAACTGATTATAGTAATATAATTTAATGTAGGTATATACTTATTTGTTACATTTAGTTGCTGCCGACTTCACCACGTTTGTATGTTGATGTGTAGATAGACATTTTAAGAGTATTAAAGCTTTTTATTCTATAAGAAAAATATATAACATTAGATAATAAGAACGGGTGAGAGGAACAATTTACCTTGTACATGAAATAATTGAGAATACTATCGTTAAAAGATATGCGATGGAGACCAGTGGGATCACACCCCTAGCAAGGCTTTCAAATTCATTCTGTCTTGACAGTGAGGTAAAATAAGCTACCTGCCAGGTTAAAGGGGGAAGGGGAGAGAAGGAAGAAGATAATCTTTCAATTATTTTACCTTAAAATGTATTTTAATTATCTATTTAAAAATAGGCTGAAATAAAAATATATTTCATTATTATCCAATTTTTGTATGTTTTAACATATTACAAAGATTAGTTAATGAAAATTTTTTACACATAATCCTTGACTTACAACAGCAACTGGAATTGGAATTTTCATCTCAAAGCCATGAGGTTGTAAAGCATCTTGGTTGCTATTGTTAACCAAATCCTATTAGATGGCAAGGGGCACCAAGTCAATGGGGAAAGCTGGTAGGAAGTTGCAAGTCCCAAGTAGCTTGCAGCCAGCTGGGTAAGTGGCTGTTGCTGGGTTGGGGCCGCATGGGGAAAGGCTCAGGGAGGGTGCAAGGAAGGTGTGGCAAAATTTGGGGAGATTGCATTAGGGTATTAAGAGGGGAACAGCAAGGGTTGGGGAGGGCATACAAGAGTGCAAGAGAAGTGGCTTGGGAATGTTGTGCAAGAGTAAACCAAGTGTGCAGTGAGGCTAGGAAGGATGAGTGGAAGGAGTAGCAGGGGTCAGAAAAAGTACACAAGGGAGATGTGATAAGACTTGGGGAAGGTGTATAAGAATGTGCAAAGATGTGAGGGAGGGGTGGCAAGGCTCCAGTAGGGTGTGAACGGTGTATAGAAGACATGTCACGAGTTAGAGGGGATGCCCAAGGGTGGCACAGGAAGACTCGGGGAGTCTGAAAGGAAGTAATGGCAAAGTTGCATAAGGGTGTCCAAATGGCCAATGTGGCACAGAAGCAGAAGAGCTGATAAGAGTGTGTGATGGGAAAGTCTTACCAAATTACTTCCCAATCTGTTTCCCCATTGATTTTCTAAACAAGCCAGAAGGGAAGGTCACATGATTGTAGGGCATGGCAACTGGTCATAAGATCACAATCCTGTGATTGTGAGGGTGTCAGAGTCCACCACTTCTTCATCTCTGTTTTAACTTCAAATGGTTGCTGAACAAATGATCATTAAATTGAAGTCTACCTGTAAAATTCTATACCAAAAAATGCCTGTAATACTGTAACATTTAAAACATTCTATATACTGTAAATTATTCTGATATTGCCTCATTTCTTGAGTATGTCAATATTTAATATGCATTTAGCATGCTTTCTTAGTTAGTGGCATGTATGCTGAATCATAAACAGTCTCTAAATTAGAGCTCCTAGCTTGCATAAAATATGAACTTACTTGAGAAAAAAACCAAGGGTTTCGCAGAGCTAAGGATGAAACATGATAAAAATTGGCTAGTAATTTCTATTCCACTAGCAGGGACTGATTGCATGTGGCACAAATGTAAATTAGAATAGTAATTTACTCTATGCCTTCTCCATAATACTAACAAATATTGTGTGAATGCCTCAAGTGACCAAAACTATGATGGACAGTAGAAGTCAATATCCATAGGTATATTTGGTGATGGCCATATGAAAGATTGTGATTTGGAATGTAAGATAAATAAATATGCCCATGAATAAATATATCTGAAAAGTAATATATGTTTGTGAAACCAAGAAAAAGAAGGATATAATAGATAAGGATAGTTTAATCCTGCAAAATGAAGTTGATAAATGAAGTTGCTGTAGATATAGAAATGATATAGATTTAATTATGAATAAAAGAGATAACTTTTACATCAGAAAATATGAATTGATGTCATCCAGATTATTGTGCACAGACAGATGACAGCTATATTTATGCTCTAGCAAATAGTGAAAATGGAAGGATTTGGAGTGGACATTAGTAAATACTGGATGACACACTGAATTAACATATTGGGGAAAACTGTATTCTCTTAAATGGCATTGGTGAAGGAAAGAAAACTCAAAAGAAATGACTGGACCCTTTGGAAATCTAAGAATGAATGAGGATGGTGACTGGTAAATATCTGCTTAGAAAAAAAAGCTCATTTGAAAAACATGGTTTAAGCATACAGATAGTCCTCAACTTATGACCACATGGGACTGGAATTGGTAGAGGTAAATGTTGCAGTTGTTAAGTAAGTCATCACATGACTGGACCTAATTTTATGACCATTTTCTTGTAGAGGTAAACAACCACAGTGGTTAAGTGAATCAGATGGTTGTTAAGTGGATCTCATACTCATTAAGTGAACCCAGTTTTCTCAATTGATTTTGCTTGTTGGATGGCTGCAAATTGCAATTATGTGACCACAAGATGCTGTGACCATTGTAAATTCAAGTTGGTTGAAAAGTACCTGAATTGTGATCACATGATTCTGGGATGTATGTGATGTGACAGATATAAGTTTGAGGACAGACCATGTCACTTTTTCAAAGTCTGTTGTAACTTCTAATCTTTTTAAATGAACAGTCATAATTTGAGGATTATCTGTATGAGTTTTCATGCATACACATCCTTATTTTATTCAGGAGTTCAAGATGGCATACATAGCACTCAGCCTTATTTTTCTCTGCATCAATAATCCAGTGAGACAGTTTAGGCTAGGAGAAAATGGCTAGCTCAAAGTTACTCAGTGAGCTTTCATAACTAAGGGTAGACAAGAACTTAGGCCTTCCCTCATCTAGTCCAACATTTTAGCCATTAAACCACACTTGGAATATACATTAAAAACATAACAGATTTGATCATTTATGATAGAAGATTGAGAAAGATAACGAGGATGCAGAGATGATAAGAGATTCTGAATGTAAAACAGTCCATTAAAAAAGATGGATGAAAAGGACTTCATAAATGTAAGAATGTTAAAAAATACTAAGATTGTAGGCTTAGATGACGACTGGACAAATGTTTAGATATAGATAAGGCTACTTACAGAATGTAGTGATGTTATCAGTTCTGTTTCTTTTCAAAAAATTTTTTATTATTCCTGAGCATTTTTTTAAAGGATGTTACACTGCCATTGAACCTGCATTTCCTTTTCAAGCAGACTGAACATTGTGCTTTAATGAACTGAATACTTTAATGATACAGTAATGTATGTACTTAGAACCATTTCTGTCTTCTGCAGAAGGACTCCCTCACAGGTCTGTAGTTTGGAATTATCATTGGGCTGCACAAAAGTGGGATTGTAGGAACTGGTACTCCTTGGGGTTTGGGACAAGAATAGCAACAGATTGACTTTAATGAGATAGGAATGTAAATACTTAGGCTCTTTCATTGCAAACAACAGCTTTAAGTACTTGATCCAGATTTTGCTTGATATAATGAGCAGAAGTCTGGGGAAGTACATTCAGATATGCAATATTCTGTTACTATATACCCTTGTAATAAAAATAACATTAGCATGACTTTGATGTCCTAGTCTGGTTATGTTGAAGGGTTGACATCATGTTTGCAAATCTCAAAGAGCTTCCTTCTTCTCTTCTTTTCTCTTTGGGAAAACTGGAAGGGGAGGATCTTGTCTGAAATTCTTACTTGGGTTATATTTCTGGCCTATGTTCTTTTTGTCTTAGTTGCGGCTTTTGTTTCTTCCTCCCTCCTTATTATATCTGCCTACTATATGTAAGTTAAATAGTGCTCTTGATTAAAGTAGCTGTGTAAAGATGCAGTTGTACCTGATAATTGGAAGAGTGCTGTAATCATCTCTCTATAGCAGTGGTTTTTAACCTTTTTGAACGAATCGCCCCCTTGAGCCAATGAGGAAGTTGTCATCGCCCCCTCCCCCAACATAACCTCTCAATCACAACATAGGAAATAATTCTTCAATTTATGCAAACACTTTTTTTGTTTTCTTTAAAATTGTCATCAGGACATATCGATGCAAATAATTTATTTCCAGTCTTTTTCCCATATCTCCCATATTCTGGCCAATGGCGTGCCACTGTATGGGTAGAAGCTGCTGCACAACGCGCATGAAGATAAGCGATGCGTCTTCACATATGTACGGCGTTCTGTACTGAAGCTAGCTGGAGGAACATTTGAAAACACAATTCAATCCACTAATAGTGAGCGATCTGATGTTTTTGTACGACAGATATACAGCGATTCACTGCACGAAAAAGTCTCAAAAGTATCCCCAAAACTTCTTGCTCCATCGCCCCCATATCGCCCCCTTTTTGTTCCTTCGCCCCCATGTCGCCCCTTTTCATTCCATCGTCCCCCTGAAAAATGAAATCGCCCCCTGGGGGGCAATATCGCCCAGGTTAAGAACCACTGCTCTATAGCAGGGGTGTCAAACTGCCGGCTGCGAGCCGGTTGCATCATGTGGAGGCTGTGCCCACCTCAGCTCTGGCAATGCAAAAAAAGTTGCGATATCTCACATCACATGACGCGATGAGTTTGACAACCGTGATCTATAGCATTAGGTTAGTCAAGAGATGTTGGCTTTCAACAGCTCACTGAGAAATGTATGAATGTGAGAAAGTTTAGATGAAGCATATGATAGGGTAAAAACAGATCCAGAAAACTACAGATCAATCAGCCTGACATTAGTACCTAGAACAGTGGTTCTCAACCTGTGGGTCAGGACCCCATTTGGGGTCGAACGACCATTTCACGGGGGTCGCCAAACAAGGCTGTCCACCATTTCCCCCCCTTTTCTTTGGCCACGCCCCTGGTACCCGGTGATGTATAAGTGGTTGGGGGTCATCACAACATGGGGAACTGTATTATGGGGTGGTGGCATTAGAAAGGTTGAGAACCACGGACCTAGAAAGATCCTGGAAAAGATAATCAAGCAACAGATCTGTGAAAATCTAGAAGCAAGCTAAGTTATAACCAGAAGCCAACATTGGTTTATAAAAACAGGTCATGCCAAAGAAATCTTATTTCATTCTTTGATAAAGTGACTAAATTAGTGGACCAGCAAAATGCAGTGGACAAAGTATATTTGGATTTCAGTAAGGCATTTGATGAAATAGACCAAATCTCTTTCTTAGTAAGCTAAAAAAAACGTGGAATAGACAGCATTACCACCAGATGGATTTGTAATTGACTGACAAATTGAACTCAATATGTAGTCCTTATTGGAACTACATCTACATGGAGGAAAGTAAGTAGTGGAGTACCCCAAGGTTCCATTTTTAGCCCTGTACTCTTCAATATCTTCATAAACTATTTAGATGAGAGAATAGAAGGGGAAGTAATTAATCTGCATATGACACTAGGCTGGCAGGAATAGCCAACACCTCAGATGATAGGCTCAAGATCAAGATGGATCTTGACAGACACGAATTCTAGTCCCTATCCAACAAAATGAAATTCAAGGTAGAGAAAAGTAAGGTCTCACACCTAGGAAAGAAAAAGCAAAAGTACAGGTACACATTAGGTGAAACCTGGCTCAATAGCAGTAACTGTGAGAGGGATCTTGGAGTCTTATTGGGCAGTCATTTAAATTTGAGCCAGCAATGTGCAGCAGCAGCCAAAAAAGCCAATGCAATCCTAGGATGCATTAACAGAGGAATAGAATCACGATCATGTGAAGTACTAGTACTACTTTACAAAGCCTTAGTAAAACCTCTCTTGAAATACTACATGCAATTTTGGCATCACATTTAAATTAATGGAATGCTTAAGGTTAAATGGGGTGCTTAATGAATATATGACATTAAGCAGAGAATATAACAAGGATGTTGCTGTTGAATATATTTAGGAAGTCTATCTGGAATGCTTTGATAAAACTTCATATATTGACCAGGTATGCAACAGAGTGGAAGTCTGTCTTCTTTTGAAGGAGAAGCAGTCTACATCTGTTTACTATTTGGATAAACAACATTCTCTTTACTATTACTTTACATCTCTTTACTATTTTGTAAGTAACATTCTTATGAGTATGAAAAGTTGCTTTCCAAGCAACCAGTTTTAAAGAAACGGGTACTGAGATGATTTAATTATGCAGGGACAATAAATTAAACTATAAAAAAAAATGAAGAAAAAGTGAATAGGTCAAAGCAAGTCAAGTGAATGGCTGGAGAGAACAAAAAACTTTGCAAGAGACTGAGGAGATCCTCAAAAACAGAGGTGAGAAGTTTACAAAACTGTTGTAAAACTGTAAGTGATACTGTAGGCAGGGAGATTTGCAGGGATATTGCTTAGGAATTATTAGTGTTTTTCATAACCTGCCTATACTCAAAACATAGGTAGGTTTCATTTGAAATGAAAGGAGAAGGGAATGTTGAAAATAACATTTCCTAATTCAGCCATACCTTGAGAACGGTAAGGTTCAGGGCGCCCACTATTAGGGGGATGCGCTGCACAAAGGCTTCCAACCAGAGGTTGCTGGCCTCCCGTTTCGACGGGTCATTCTCTTGCAGGAAGTAGATGAGTCGTATCGCTCGGGCCCCGAGAAGAGACCGCGCAGGCTCATTGCCCGAGCCCAGCGTGACGCCCCCCAGGAAGAAGCCCAGGAATACCCGGTTGCGGAAGACCGGGAAGGTTAGATTGGGCCGTAACACCTCGAGGTAGTCCGGTTTATCCTGGACGATGCTTAGGAGTGGGTTGGGGCTGACGCATTTGCCAAAGTTTCGCGCGCAAATACGGTCGTAGGAGAACCCAGCCGCCTGGATGCCGCGCACCGCCTGATCTATTTTCAACAGCTCGGCGAAAGCCTCCCGAGTCAGTAGTGAGCCGTGGCGTCGGGCCGCCACCGCGATTAAAGTGGCATAAGCACCCTCAGTGGTCAGTCTTTCCGGAGAGAAGTGATTGGCGTCGTCGGTGTGGAAGTACTTCTGCACGAAACTACGCTCGGTTTTGGCGGGGCCTTCGATGGGCGTGAATTGCTCCTCCAGGTCGTTCGGTTGGCGGCTGGGTAGGAAGATGAAGCCGACTGACAGGGCGCCCGAAATTACCAAAGGCACGAGGAGATAAGGCCACGGGTAGGTGCCCACGGAGGCACCTAAGTTGCGGAGGGCGCGTGAGAGGGGCTCCTGCAAGCAATCGGTGCGGTAGAAGCGAATCGCCATCTCCCCTTTGGTCTTCTCGTCCCAGGGCCCGGCGCGATCGCTTCCGCGCCTCGGTGTCTTCTCCGGCTCTCTGGCTGAGCAACCGTTATTCGCAGGACCGGAGCGCATTCCATTTGGCGCGGCTGCCCTCGCGCTCGTGAATACGCGGGGCAGATTCCTGAGCGAAGAAGTTGGCTCTTTGGAGAAGGAGCCTGTAGCCTTCTCTGCTCCTTGCTTAGGTGGTTCTTGTACAAATACCATATATGTTTAAATTCCCCAGGCAGGGAATCTTAACTGTTAACTCCTCCTTCACTCCATTCCTGCTGGATAAATTTATATTTTAGTGACCCTGATTGTAGGATAATCACAATTATGAATAATGCAGTATAAACCTAAGAAGCATGGGTGTCCCTCATAGCCCCTTCAGGGGTCTGCGAAATTAAAATGATTTGCCAGTCTGTGCAAAATAATATAACATTAAAATACAATCAGTCAATTTTGTGAAGTGGCATCAAATGCAACAATTTTAATTTTTAACATGGTAAACATTTAAAAAATATTTACCATACTAAAGAAAAAGAAAAGTTAGAAATAATGATATAAATATCATTGTCAAAAGAAAGTGGAGAAAAAAAACACTATACCTTTGCAAGGTGGCTTTTTCATACACACACACACACACACACACACACACACACACACACACACACACACACTCTTACAGTGCAAAAAGCAATCTCTATCCTGAAGTTTTTAGCAGAAAAAAAGACACAGAAAAAGGAAATAGTGTTTATGGCCGGAAATGAGTATGGAATTGTATCTAGCCAAGCATTTCTTGAAAAAAGTTACATACCTTCCTCTTTATCTCTCTCTAGTTGCCTCTCTTTATATATATATATATATATATATATATATATATATATATAAATCTCCCACACTGAAGATATTCAATCTGTTTACAAGTATGTATGGCTTGGATTCCGAAATGCCAACCTTTCAATTGACAAGCCCAGAATAGAAATATTATTACTTTTCGGAGCAATACCTGTATTTTGAGCAGTTGTCACACTGTTACTCCACTAAACCTGGGATTTACTTACACAGACCACTAGGAGACAGAATATGACCAGTTTCATCCTTCTGGTGATCTATATAGCTAAAAATACTGCACAGAACTTACACTATATAAAGAAATCCCCCTCCCTTCTCTTTCAAGGATCAAGGAATGGAAGTCATGGAAGACCTCATACATGGGCATAACATAATGCGGACATATCAAACACAAGGTCCGGCCCGTGAAGTGGTTTCATGTGGCCCACAAAGCCATCCTGGAAACAGTGAGGGAACGGCCCCCGCTGACTTGGCCCTGGCCCAGGCCAGCCGGGAACCAATGTACAATTTTGTGGTGGCCATCTTGGCTCTTGCCCCAATGGATCATGCCTTCACACTTGCCCCAGTCCCACCCCCTTCTGCCAGAGACCCTCAGATCTGTCCCACTCCTGCCGAGCCCCCCACAGGCACCTTTGACGTGAATGATGTAGAACTGGCCACGCCCATCCAGTGGGTCACACCCACTCCATCCACGCCCACTCAGTAGGCTGCACCCACTCTGGCCACACCCACCCGGCCCCCCAAGGGCAACCGCAATGCTGATGCGGCCCTCAGTGAAATTGACACCTCTGACATAATGGAACATCCATCTCGCTGCTTCTCTCTCTGAGAACTTAAGAGACATTGGACCATATATACAATTTTAATAAATATAAATATCTGTGAATGGTTGAAATGTGTTTTTTAAATTATAACAGATACATACAAATGCTAGCGAGTGATAATTTCCTGATATGAATGTATCAGGGATTGCTGTCCATATGCTATAGGAAATATTGTGGTAAACTAGAGAAAACTTAGCCAATGTGACTAGCAAAAAAAACAGATTTAAGACTGCAATGTTAAACAAATTCATTAATTTTTTTTTAAAAAAATAACTGTATGCATTGTAATTCTTTTTCTACAATATGCCCATTTTCATTTGACTCATTCTCTTTTTTCTGAATAAGTTTATTTAAGATTTGACTGCATCTATTTTAGGCCATATGTTTGCAAACGTCAAGCTGTACTACCTCATTAAGCATTAAAAAAAAAAAATCCCAGAACTCCTGATCTATAAAATGCAGCTGTGGCACTTTTATTGTGGGTGAACGTATCTCAACATTTCCACTATGGATGCCCCTTATTATTTTTTTTTTAAATAATAATGTTTCAAAACTGTCACTAAACTAATGGTTTTGAGGATTACCTGTATAAATGTATACATACATATATGTGGATGTGCATGCTCATTTTGTTATCTACTTGCTTTGATTTTTGGCACTAGATTATTCTTTTTTCATTTTTTTCTAGTATATAATTTTATTTTTCAAAAAGAAAGAGAAAAATGATGGGTAGCACTATAGATGTTTAATACTGTGTTACATTTATTTGTCAATTTCTAATTTTTAATTAGCAGAAGTCTTTAAGTGTTCACTTAAATAATAAAATACCTAAGTTGATCACTGCATTTGGAAACTATGCTTTTATTTTAAATAAATATGTAGATAAATTCTTTCCTCTGAAATCTCACTTAGTAAACTTTGTTGTAACATTTTACAGTGTATATCATTTCTTGATAGCATCTCTCAAATATTTTATCTAAGCTATAAAAGTTATGGAAATGTTTCATGACATTAGAAAAGATGCATCTTCTTCCTGGAACTCTGATTGGAGTTAATGGAAAGTGCATGTGCGAGCATGTATTTGGCAGTAGCTGCCTCACTTGTTTAAGTTTCAGGCTAGGAATGCAAATCAGAGAAGATTAGCTAAGGAAAATATCCAGAAAGTGCATGAAAAATAAGTCAATCATGTTTGAAATTATGGCCAGGTTCTGATATGGTAATTATATGTGACAATTGTTAACCTCCTGGAAGAGATACATGAAGGGAAAAGATAAACTACCTCAAAATTGTATGACTCTACCATTGAATGAATTATTGTTGAAGGCCAAGCCAATTAAGATACTGTCCATATAGGATTTAATCCAGTTCAGGATTCTGATGTTGGGAGATAGCAGTGATGAGACAGGAGACATTAACTCTTTGCTTCCCATTGCAATTCTAATCAACCTAGGAATATCTTCAATACAAATGGGTGTGGCCATTTGTATTGAAGATATAGAACTTGATAGAGGTAGCATACACAAATGTTCAAAGGCTCAACATTCTATGTTAAGCATAATGCCCCTCAGCCCTTCTTTATTTTTCAGTATTCTTGGAATAAAGGGAAATAGTGATTAAGCCTTAAGGATCTAGGAGTGAGAAGAAGACAATGTTGAGAGACAGGTGGGGTGGGAAGACTGACATTGCAAAGAAATCCTTGTGCTTTGATTGAATGCCAGGGGAACGTAGCTAAGAACAGTCCTGTATATCCAGTTTAGAACGCTTCCCCTAATAGATTTTGGTGGGGAAGAATTAGGCAAGCTACATGCAAGATGATGTTATACAATGTAGTGTACTTCACACTGATCATATATCATAATTTTTTTTTGTTCAGGACTGTTATGTGATATTTGTAAACCATATTTTATGATTTCTCAGCTTTGTGAATGGAGCTATTGTGTTCTTTTTAACATCTCATTAATCAAGCTACATTTTAGCATAATATCTGAACCTAGTTTAAAAGGTAAATATTTTTACCTTTAAAATATGGATTTACTTAGTTGGAATCCCTCTCCGCCACCCACCCAATTATTGTTGGATCCTCCTTGTTCATCCCTCTCGTACACATTTTACAATGGTGCATAAATAGTTGAAGACACACGAGAAAACAATAGGCTATAGTGGGGTTATCTGTAGGTGTAATAAGAAAAAATCTCCTATCCAATCATGTCTAATTCTAGGGGCTGGTATTCATTTTCAGTACTGTCCTTCCATGGCCAGCATGACTATATGCCGGAGCACATGGAATGCTGTTGCCATCCCATCAAAGTGGGAACACAATGATTACTTTGTGCTCTTCTTGTGTAAGAAACTCTAAAATTGTATTGTGTAAGGAATTTTGTAAAGGAATTATATAAAGGGATTGTGTAAGGAACTCTAAAACTACATTATAGGTTGATACCATTATTTGTATATCAAACCACCAGTTTCAGGGTCATAAGGTATTATAAAATAAAAGGTATAGTATTAGTTCTCCTCAGAAGGGTAATATGGTTTTTCAGGAAAGAACTAGAAAATATGCTTTTCAAAAATAAATAATATGTCTGAGTTGGTATGCAAAAATATTCTGTATACCTATGTAGATAAAGTCTGTCCAAGAACTACTTAGATCTTTCAGAAAGTGATTCAAATGAGATAGCATGTAACATTTCAAGATGCATTTAATTACAATGGATTGATATTTTGAGATGATCCAGCCAATCTGAAACCTTGTAAAATGTCCTGTATTTCATAGCAGAAAACTGAATGCATATTCAGCTTTATTGCTGCTATCTAACAAAATGAAATTCAATGGTGAAAAAAGCAAGGTTCTACATTTAGGCAAGAAAAACAAAATGTACAGATATAGTATAGGGGTACCTTGCTCAATAGTAGTAACTGTGAGAGGGATCTCGGAGTCCTAGTGGACAATCATTTAAATATGAGCCAGCAGTGTGCTGCAGCTGTCAAAAAGCCAACACAGTGCTGGGCTGCATTAACAGAGGGATAGAATCGAGATCACATGAAGTATTAATACCATTTTACAATGCCTTGGTAAGGCCACACTTGGAATACTGCATCCAGTTTTGGTCACCACAATGTAAAAAAGATGTTGAGACTCTAGAAAGAGTACAGAGAAGGGCAACAAAGATGATTAGGGAACTGGAGGCTAAAACATAGGGAACGGTTGCTGGAATTGGGTATATCTAGTTTAATGAAAAGAAGGACTAGAGATGACATGATAGCAGTATTCCAATATCTCAAGGGTTGCCACAAAAAAGAGGGAGTCAAGCTATTTTCCAAAGCGCCTGAAGGCAGGATAAGAAGCAATGGATGGAAACTAGTCAAAGGAGAGAAGCAACCTGGAACTGAGGAGAAACTTCCTGACAGTTAGAACAATTAACCAGTGGAACAGCCTGCCTCCAGAAGCTATGAATGCTCCAACACTGGAAGTTTTTAAGAAGAGACTGGACAGCCATTTGTCCGAAATGATATAGTGTTTCCTGCCTGAACAGGGGGTGACCTCCAAGGTCCCTTCCAACATTATTATTATTATTAATAATAATATTAATAATAAAATTCTCTTTCCTCTTTTTAAGAACATTATAATAACTTGAGTAAATCTTGCCTTCTTTCTGAAAGAACATGGAGACCCAACGGAAGACTTGGTGGTGGTAATGGTTGTTTGGAGAAAGAACATTCTAGCCATCCTCTTGCATCACTACTTCATATTACTTATCTATTACAGGATACCTGTCTTTCATTTCCACCAAAACAACTCATAAATCGTGAGATTAGACATGTGTTGAATATGAAAATCTGCCCATAAATAAAATTGAGAAGTCAAATCCTGGGAGTGAAATAGCCACAATGCTGGCTGGGTATGTTCAGAAAGGGAGGGAGGAGATTATTCCCACACACCTTCCAAAATTCCCAGATCATTAGATCTTGTTTCCAAAATAACCAGTGACAAAGCCTTATACAATTTAAACATCTTGAATCTGTCAGAATCAGATTAAGAGAAAAATAACTTACTGAGTAACTTTGGTTATGGTTTTAAACAATGATAGGATTCATGGGATATCATAATATCCATGGATGACTTTTCCTGGATTTGCAAGGCATATGGAAACACATCTAATGCAATGTAGGGAGGTCTACAGATATGCTCAAAAAAGACAAGGTCAGCCGCAATGGTGCAATCAAAGCATATTGAAAACGGGTAGAGTTTTGCAGTCACCCTCCTTAGATTCTTTTAACTATATCCTGTGGATATCACTCCCGCAATGGGAGCCATTTCACGACATTACGAGCCTATTCTAGCTCAAGAATTCTTGATTTGAAAAATGTTTCCATCTGTCTGAATGTCTTTTTTGATAGAAGCCAGTAGGGGGCGGTGAAGAACCATTAGACATATCATTGTTCCTGTGTTTTATCAGACTGACAGTAAAACTTTATACTGACTGCAAGAAGAGTTTGCTATGAAGTTCTTTGCCTAATCTCTCCAAAGCTATCATTTTTCCAATGGAAACATGTACGACGCATCCTTTCCCTGCAAACAATCACATCAGCAATTACCTTAATGGAAAATCAGATGGCTACTTACAGCTTTTGTCTGCTGAATCCATAGTGGAAACTGTCCAGGAAAAATATATTGGCTGGTCTTTTTGCATCAACTTGTAGCATTAATAGATTTTGGCTGCTTTTTTTGTACCAAGTTGTAACATTAATAGATTTAACTCTCTCTGGAGAGGCCTAATTCTAGACTTGATTTAGCAAAAGACTATGTTACTCTTACAAATTTAAAAAAAAAACTGGTTGGAAAAAGTTGAGATGCTAATAAAGCATATTAAGACCTCAAATATTTGCATGTCTGGTATGAAAGTTTTCATTAAACTGCCAATTTATTCACAGGGTGTGGGATGTAAGAATAACTTATTTAGATGCAAAATTTATCTTACTTCCTCAACAGGTGCATAAAAGTTCAAGAGCAAAGAAAGAAAAGAAAATCAAAGATGACATTTATTTTTGCATGAGACAAAGAGGCTATTAAGAACTAAGTATAAGATGTTGTTTCAAGACGGTCAAGAAATGAAAATTTGCAGCTGGAACAGGATGTTCCAGATGCAAAAATATTCATTTATAAATTTGTCTCGTATTTAATGGAAAACCTTAATTATAAATATGAAAATGGAGCAAAAGAAATGCACACACACACACACACACACACACACACACACACACACCTTTTTGGAAAAAAATAATAAAAGAGAGATTTAAAAAAATAATTCCTCCTTTCTTTGCTCTTACATAAAATGGTAATCTACTTACTCTTCTTTCTGTCCTAATATTTGCATGATCTGTTAGTGTTTCTTCATATCTATGGGATACAGCCACTTTTAAAGATTAGTAGATCAGGACAACATTTCTGGGAATGGTTGCCAATCTGGCAAATTTCTAACCTTTTTTTAAAATTTAAAATTAGACTAGAAATGTGCAGGAACAGTTCTCAAATCATGACAGTGTTGTGTGGTCAAATAGCTGTTCTTAGAAGTTACATTTTTCTATTAAGAATATTTTTTTAAAAAAAAGAGGGACCATATTACCATATCTTGTGTATAAAATAAAAGAAACTTTTCTCAATCCTATTTTCCCCTACCCAGGTTTTCCTCCAAATTTAAACAAAATCTGTTGCATTAACAAACTGTTAAAAATGAAATATTCAGATAGGCTTTACTTTGGTTTTCAGAAGGATTGTTTTAGTATCTGATCACTGATATAGGAAGAAATTATCACCTGCCTCCTAAGATTACCTGGAACACTCCCTTAAATTTTGCGCATCGAGGAATAATTTAAAAAGAAATGTAAAAGACACCTAGATATCAAACTGCTGTTTGTGTACATTTGGTCTCTTTATCTCCAAAAGAATGAGGAATCTGGATGAGTCGCTGCATATTCATGGCCATTTTTAGGTTCCATAAAGTTACTCCAAGAAGTTGCCACCCTCATTATGGAATGTAGATTTATTAATGGAACACATTGTGTACAATTCCATGCAATTGCACAATTAGAAGCATCACTGGCATTAGGATGACTTTCCAAGTCAAGAGAATGATGCACTGTTCTGTGAATTACTGGGTGCCAGTTGCTACCTGGAGCAACTGGCACCCAGTAATTTGTCCCTAATTCACAAATCTTAACATTTCTCATTTGGTTAAAATGGTAATAGTAATAGTAGTAAAGTTGGAAGGGACCTTGGAGGTCATCTAGTCCAACCCCCTGCTCGGGCAGGAAACCCTACGCTATTTCGGACAAATGGCTGTCCAGTCTCTTCTTAAAAACTTCCAGTGTTGGAGCATTTACTGCTTCTGGAGGCAAGCTGTTCCACTGATTAATTGTTCTCACTGTCAGGAAGTTTCTCCTTAGTTCTAGGTTGCTTCTCTCCTTGATGAGTTTCCACCCGTTGCTTCTTGTCCTGCCTTCAGGTGCTTTGGAAAATAGCTTAATTCCCTCTTCTTTATGGCAGCCCCTGAGATATTGGAATACTGCTATCATGTCCCCCCTTGTCCTTCTCTTCGTTAAACTAGACATACCCAATTCTCGCAACCGTTCCTTATATGTTTTAGCCTCCAGTCCCCTAATCATCTTTGTTGCTCTTCTCTGTACTCTTTCTAGAGTCTCAACATCTTTTTTACATCGTGGTGACCAAAACTGGATGCAGTATTCCAAGTGTGGCCTTACCAAGGCATTGTAAAGTGGTATTAATACTTCACGTGATCTTGATTCTATCCCTCTGTTAATGCAGCCTAGCACTGTGTTGGCCTTTTTGGCAGCTGCAGCACACTGCTGGCTCATATTTAAGTGATTGTCTACTAGGACTCCGAGGTCCCTCTCACAGTTACTACTATTGAGCATGGTGCCACCTATGCTGTACTTGTGCATTTGGTTTTTCTTGCCTAAATGTAGAACCTTGCTTTTTTCACCATTGAATTTCATTTTGTTAGTTAGTGCCCAGTGTTCAAGTCTGTCCAGATCCTTCTGTATCTGAAGCCTGTCTTCTGGAGTGTTGGCTATTCCTGCCAGCTTGGTGTCATCTGCAAATTTGATGAGTTCCCCATCTATCCCTTCATCCAAATCGTTGATGAAGATGTTGAAGAGTACTGGGCCCAGAACAGAGCCCTGGGGCACCCCACTACACACTTCCCTCCATATAGATGCAGTTCCATTGAGGACCACTCGCTGAGTACGGCCGGTCAGCCAGCTACGGATCCATCTGGTGGTGGTTCTGTCTACCCCACATTTTTCTATCTTGTCAAGTAGTAGGTTGTGATCTACTTTATCAAATGCCTTACTGGTAATGGCAGCAGAGAGTGAATCATCCAAATACCTTAAGGAACCTTTTGCAATCTGGTGCTCTTCAAAGGAGATTGGACTTCCAAATTCTGGCCAGCACAGTAGGCAGGCAAGTACTAGGTTGAACAAGATCCTCTTAAGTCTCCTAAGAGTCTTTCTTCATTTGGAAAAGTAATCCTGCCAGAAGAAGGTGCACACTCTCCCTTCCTCACCTTTCAGGACACTTTTCTGTGGAGAAACAAAAATGCAAATGATTTGCAAATGTGGGGTCAGGGGATCACAGATGGTGCAGCATTAGTTGCTAGGTCTGCAGATTTTCGGCTCTTTTTTTGTCTATCTATAAGAATGACAGCCAAAAATTCTTGCCTAAATGGAGAACAGAGACTTCTAAATGTCTCATAGTAGTGCAATAAAAGAAGACATTATTGACAGACTTTACTTAATAATGACAGCGTGTTTCATTTTAGCCATTTAAAAGACATCGTTATTTCTGCAGAGGAAAGGGAGGACCTCTTCTAAGATTTTATAAGGTAAACATATGCTGACATTAATTATTATAATATTTATCTGCAAAACAGATGGTAATGTTTTCCAAAAACTTGTGAGCAGTGATCAGAATGAATTTATGGAAGTGGTACAACATCTCCAGTGTCTCATCTAGGTGTAACCTTGGATTCTGGTCCATGCAAAGTGCTGCTTTTTCAGCAAAGTTTTACCAGACAGATGGAAAACATTATTAACTACTGTTTTCCTTTCTTGTCAGAAATGTTTTGTCTAATCATCACATAATTACACATCCATATTGTAGTAAATCACACTATATAAACATTTCAAACAGAGTGGAACTATTAAGGTGAAATACAAAATATTCCAGATTTTAAAACAAAACAAATATGAAATGGACCATGCCGAGTAAGAAATGTTAAAATCAAGGCCAGAGGAAAATGAAACTTTACAATTTTGGAACCAAATTTTCAGAAAACGGCATTCTGTTCATTGAGACAATCACATCCTGGGTGCCCTGAAATGCTTTTTCATAAAAGTGAGTGAACTGCTTGGATCAGCCCACACTTGGCACGGATTTCTCAGCTAATCTTGAGAATAACTTCTGAAATGTAGCTCTTCAGGATGGGAGCATTCTTATGCTAATTATTTATTTAGGAATGGCAACTTCTTCAACTCCAACCATTTGAGGCTCCTATTCTTCCTGCAAGTTGTATTTATTTTCTCTGCTGTTGCCAAAAACTATTTTAATTATAGCAGGAATGGTAGGTACTTATACTGCATAGGTCAGTGATGGCGAACCTTTTAGAGACCGAGTGCCCAAAAACTGGCCCCGCCCCCACTCCACCCCCTGCCCCGCCCCCACCCCACCTGCCTGCAGGGCCACTCACCGCCGCAAGGGCCCACTGCAGATCTCCCAGGCATCCCAGCAGTGCCATGGCGGCTGCACCCTCTGCCCGTGCCTTGCAGCATCAACTATGCGCAATGGGGCATGAGGGCAGAATCTTGTCTACGCTGCCTGGCTGCCATGTCCTTGGCTGCATTGCTCCATGTGGGCCATGCTCGGGGGCGACTCTCCTCCAGAGGGGCTGCTGGTGAGAAGGGGGTCACGGGGGGAGACAAGGCTGGGGCAAAGGCACATATGCCCACAGAGAGGGCTCCAAGTGCCGCCTCTAGCACCAGTGCCATAGGTTTGCCACCATTGGTATAGGCACTCCAAGAATAGGCTATTGAACAATATAGGTAGTCTTTGACTTGTGACCACAATTGAACCCAAAATCTAAGTTGTTAAGTGATACATTTGGTAAGAGAATTTTCCCCATTTCAACCTTTCTTTCCACAGTTGTTAAGTGAAACACTGCAGTTGTTAAATTAGTAACACGAGTGTTAAGTGAATCTGGCTTCCCCAATGACTTTGCTTGTCGAAGGTTACAAAAGGTGATCACATGACTGTGGGACACTGCAACCGTCATAAATATGAGTCAGTTGCCAAGCATCTGAATTTGGATCACGTGACCATGGGGATGCTGCAATGGTTGTAAGTGTAAAAAATGACCATAAGTCATTTTTTTCACTGTCTTTGTAACTTTGAATGGTCACTGAAAGAACTGTGTAATTCGAGGACTACCTTTATGTGACAAATGCTACATACACAGTATACTCACTAAACACACCACACACAAACACCAGAAATGGCTTTCAAGGATAGGAGGAAGAGCTGCTATCAAAGCATAGTCAGATAAAAGAGACCTGACTGCCATAAAGCTACTGTCTAGTTCAGCGTTTCTCAACATTCGTGTGATGGCGACCCCAACGCACGCGCGGTGGCGCCCCCATGCGCGGCGCCCATGCACGGCGCCGGCCCCTGAGGGGGGAAAATGGCAGATCGCATTGTTTGGCGACCCCCATAAAATGGTCAATCGACCCCAAATGGGGTCGCGACCCATAGGTTGAGAACCGCTGGTCTAGTTCATAGAAAATACAGTAAAATGAAGGGAGGAGGAAGCACATTCAGAGTTGGAAGATTTGTTACCAGTTTTACAAAAAAAAGTAATATTGGCCTGCATGGCACTGGTTCCTTAATATGGTTTACCTTGAAGAGTGACAGTAAGGTCCCTTGGTTTGCCTTTTGTCCTTACATTCAGGTGTGCCTCCAGCTTGTTCCTTTTGGTTTTGTCATTTGGTTCTGGCTGATGCTCTGAATTAGGATTAGTTCACTGGCTCCTAGTTTTAGAATCATCTTAATTACCCTTGGTTCATTAATCTCATCAGTGCTTTAGTACCTGCCAATATATATATTAAATCACCTGTCCCATATTATTTACTATTCACTATTATTTACTATTTATTATTCAAATCAGATGCATCCTCAGTAGCAATAACACTTAGACTTATATACCACTTCACAGTGCTTTATAGCTCTCTTAAGTGGTTTTACAGAGTCACCATATTGCCTCAACAATCTGACTCCTCATTTTACCAACCTCAGAAGGATGGAAGGCTGAGTTGATTTTGAGCCAGTGAGAATCAAACTGCTGAACTGCTGGAAATTGTTAATCAGCAGTAGTAGTCTGCAATACTGCATTCTAACCACTGTGCCACATGTAAGTGACTAAAGCTGTGCTACTTCACAAGCTCCTCCTCTTTTGTATGTCTAACATGACACTTGCACAAATGGACCTCAGTTTGTAGTATGACAGCACATCATTTGTTAAGATATTTAAATTTACTAGCTGGAACAATGGGGTTGTATAATGAGCCAGAACACACTGTTGTAGATGATTGGTTGGAGAGTGCTGGCTGTGTGAGGTAATCTGCACTGTGATTGGTTGCTGTGGCTGTGGAGGGGGAGGTTCCCTTTTTCCCTTATGATGCTCCTTTTTGCCTAACTACCTTGTGTGATATAAATACAAATATAAAATATGTTTATTTATATAAAACTATAAGTTCATGTCAGTATCTCTGACTTCATGTGGACACTTGCTGTGCAATTCACTGACATCATTGCTCTCACCATCTTGGCAAACTACTAGGTTCTGTGGACATATTCAAATTGTACTTTCTATGGCATCTTTTCATTAAATCAATGTGCATTTAATGTATGCACAACCGAATAGAATAGAATAGAGCTGGAAGGGCCCATAGAAGTCTTCTAGTCCAGCCCCCTGCTCAAGCAGGAGAATCTATACCATTTCAGACAAGTGACTGTCCAGTCTCTTCTTAAAAATCTCCAGTAATGGAGCACCCACAATTTCTGAAGGCAAGCTGTTCCACCGGTTAATTTTCTCTGAGACAAAGTGGTGTGCTAATAATTTAGTATATGGAGACATTTAATATGCAAGTGCAGAGGAGAAGCTGAAAAGTATGGATGGTGGTGGGAGAGAGGAACAGAAAGATGTGTAGGTTCTCTTAAGATACAGTAGCACCTAATATCTCCCCCTCAATGTGGGCCACTGTTGGTTAGACTCAAGTAATGCCAATCTGGTCTATGGTTCTATGGTCCACAGAATGGCATTTTGTCTTTTGTTGGTGAATTCTAATAGGGAAATAATTAGGATCAATATGGCTGGTAATACCAAGCATACACAGAAGATATCAATATTCAGTGCATTAGGAGAAACAGGCATTTATTACACATTCACTCATTTATAACGGTCTATAAACTGATCAATTACTTCCCAGGTATGACAAGATTTGACTTTAGCAGATTAGGCTGCTCAGTCATGTAGGCACCAGGAAAAAAGAAAAAAAAAAGAACTATAGAAGAAAAAAGAACAGATTGTGTAATAGTTTGTCCCATGTTTGAACATCATGACACATTTGCCCAGGAGTATAATGCAGCTTCAAAAAGGAAGGCTGCAATTGAGGAGTCTTAATATGTACAGGCATTTCAAATGCCTGGAAAGATGCAAAGAAATCATAATAACATGTTGCTCCATAACTGGGAGATGGGTAGACTAGATTCCTTTCCTTCCTTCTTTTCTACACAACTGTCATATAGCTCTTGGGGGAAATTTGTTTCTTCGTTTTCCTCCTCCTCCTTTTCCACAAATGAATAGAAGTAATGCTTATATTGTAGCATTCACATTTAAAAGCATGTAGAAAATATAATAAGGAAGGAAGGCATCCCATGAAATGGTTGCATTATTTGAATTCACACTATTAAAAGATGTGTTCTATGGATAACAGGGTAATTGGTTCCAGTTCAATGGAAATAAGTAATCATAATTTGAAAAATATAAAATGTTTATTAATGAAATATAGTGTAGCAGTACCTGTAACTTCTTGTATCCTGTAGTTCATTAAATAAGCCTCTTCTTTTTTGAGCTTTCCTCAGTGAGAACCTTCCTATTCTCCATTTTGCACAAAGAATAGTTAATATATAAAATCACAATGGCAAGTGTGCACATGCTAGTCTCAATCACGGGCTTTAACCTTTCACTGATTTTTGCCTCATATGTAACATATCTAATACCAATTTATAAATCGTACTAAATCAAATATCACACTATTTCATCTTGCATTAATTACAATAAATTTAATAAACAAAAAAGTAGGTGGATAATCAACAAATCAATAAACCGGCAGATCTAAGGTATCATATGAATAATATATTTTAATACATCATTTACAAAATAGTATTTCTTGTAATAGTTTGGGTTGTTTTGGAAAAACTAAAAGTGCAGGTATAGAATAGGCAGTACCTGGTTCAACAGAATCTCGCTGTTTGAGGAAGTTGCATAACATTCTCAGAGACTCTTCCCGTCCTGCTTACAATCTCTTTGGACTGTTGCCTTCTGGCAGAAGATATAGAACATTTAAAACTCGGACCACACGTTTTCTGAATAGTTTTTATCCCAGAGCTATAATTGCACTTAATAATGAACTAAAGGGCCACCATCAGTGAACTGTTGGACAGTATTACTTGGTCTGTTGGGTGGATGTTTGGGTAGTTTTAGGGGTGGGGAATTGTGGTGAGTGGGAGTGTGTTTGGGGATTATGTGTGTGGGACCTGGTCTTTGGGTGTCATGTAAATTTTGTTGTATGTGTATACTGTGTATACACATACAATGACAATAAAGTTAAATTAAATTAAAAATTAAAACAGTAATAATTGTGAGAGGGACCTAGTTGTCTTAGTGAACCCCACACAAGTATGAGCCAGCAGTGTGTAGTGCAGCTGTCAAAAAAGCCAATGCAATGCAAAAAAGTCAGGCTGCATCCACACAGGAATAGTATCTAGATCATGAAAAGTGGTAATACCACACTAGTGAGGCCGAGCTTGGAATAATATGTCCAGTTTTGGTTATCACAATACAAAAAATATGCTGAGACCCTAGAAAGTGTGTAAAGAAGAGCAATAAAGATGATAAGGGGTGTGGAAGTCATACGATGAACATTTAAGGAAATTGGGTATGTTTAGCTTAACAAAAAGAAAGTTTAGGAGTGACATGATAGCTGCCTTCTGCTACTTGAGGTGCTGTCACAGAGAATATGGGTCTGATTTATTCTGTAAAGCACCTGAGAGTAGAACAAGAAGCAATGGGTGGAAACTCAACAAAGACAGATCCAACCTGGAACTAAGGAGAAATTTCCTGACAGTGAGAACAACTCATCAGTGGAACTGCTTGCCTCGAGGAGTTGTGGCTGTTGCATCACTGACGGTTTTCAACAAAAAATTGGACAATCATTTGTCTGGGATAATATACGTTCTTCTGCCTTGGGCAGGAGGTTGGACTAGAAGTGACATAGGTCTCTTCCAGCCCTATGATTCTGTGAACCATGTTTGTAATTCTTTGCACTAGCTGATCCCAGGACTGGCAAGTAGCAATACACAAAATACTGAGGAACAAGTAAAGAAAAGAGTGGTTGGTATGGGAGAATTACTATTGGAGTCTTCCCATATCTGCTGCCCTTTGAATGTGTTGGGCCACACAACATAGAATTCCAAATCAAGACTGCCATGCTAGCCAGTGAATGATTATGACTATAGTCCCAATATCTGGGCAGTACTGAATTGGGGAAAAGTACAGTAGTCCTCAACTTACAATGATTTGTTTAGCGAACATTCAAAGTTACAATGGTATGAAAAAAATTACAACTGGGTGTCGCACTTACAACCATTGCAGCATCCCCACGGTCACATGATCAAAAATTGGGCGCACAGCAACTGGCATGTATTCACAATGGTTGCAGCATCCTAGCGTCATCCAATTGCCATTTGCAACCTTCCCAATCAGCTTCCGACAAAGCAAAGTCAATGGGCAAAGCAGGATTCACTTCAATATTGTGTGATTTGCTTAATAGTTGCAATGATTCATTTAGCAACCATGGCAAAAAATATAAAATTAAGAGTGATGCATTTAACAACCATTTTGCCTTACTTTGGAAATTTTGGTCCCAATTATAGTTGTAAGCTGAGGACCACTTGTATGTAAGAATATAAAGCTGATGTTTATTAAATAGGCTACCAGACTAATATGTGCTATCAGACAGCACTCATTGTCCAGATGTATTCCTCAACTTTCCGGAAAGTAGCTAATTCAAGAAATGTTGCATTGAGTAGTTGCAGACAAGCACCAAAGCATAAAAATTCTTATATTGCAAAGTGACTTCATATTGTGTGCAGAAATCCAGCTTCCAGAAATGTATAATAGTGAGAGTCTTGATAAGAGAACAACTAGTGTTTTCTAGTTTGTTTTCATCTGAGGAATGTTACAAAATACGTGACTGAGCAGACTTTATCCTATCTCCGATTTCATATTTCCTGTGTACACTGCAGGCTTTGGGCACACTAAATCAGCGTAGCTGACTTTCAAAGAAACAAAACATCTATGTCAGGAAATGGCTCTAGTTCTGTCCACAGTAATGTCCTACTTAAAGTTGAAACTTCTGTTTATGAGTGCTAGGGGGAATTTCTCTCTCTTTCTCAACTTGACGGAGACAAGCAATAGTCTGGGCTTGCAATCAGTCCATGGGATGGAGCAAAAAGGAAAGAATTATTGAGTGGAGGGAGAAAAATCCTATCTCCTCCTCCCTCTTCTGCCCAAAGGCAGTCTATAGCTAGACCAATTCAATATGTAAGAAACAATTTATGAACCTATAACATTTCCCATCTTTAGCAAAAAAAATGAACTGGAGCTGTCTGGACAAATCTCTTATTTCACCCACTTCAACAGCCCTCTTGCTGAGTTGAAAGGCAATGCACTAAACAGAAGGTTTGCCGAGATGAAAAAACAACAGACTGGGAAATTATTTAACCACAGCATCTTGTTTACAAAGGCCAAGTCTCAGAGTTTGAACTAGAATTCCTAACACATGAACTATATGATACCAAAGTGAAATTTTCATTTATGATCTACTTTTAGAACCAATATGGATCTGGAGGCTGGATATTTAAAAAACGTATTATCTATAAGAAGCATTCTTTGTTAAAATTGGGAAAACATCTTTCTTGAATCCCACTACGAGTGGACTTAGGAGTTTGCATTGAAATCTGATAATATGGTCTTTAGTTTTGAAGTCTGATATTGAGATCATGATTTGGGTGCCCTAATAATACTTCAACCACATGGTCTAAAGCTTTTAAAAATACAAGAACCATACTAAAGTAATCTATACTCTTTTTCAAGAGAGGTGTGTAACTAGTAGGGATAAACTTCTTTTCATCCATCCTGAATCCATCTCATTTATTTTAGAAAATGCTATCGTGTGATGCAGAGTTTTACAACCTGGTGCCTGCTAGATAAATAGGATCATAACTTCTTTTAAACAAGAAGCAAAAACTTTTATTGGGCTGAAATACACCTATTTATTTTCCAACTTTCCCCCAACCTCTGGTGATATCACCTTATTGACATCAAATCCTTCTATGGCCCTTGGTAGTCAAAAATAAAAATCCCAAGAAGTTATTGTTTATTTAGAGTATGATGAGAACATGACAGAAGAGAAGTAAACATATATATACAGTCCACGTAATTATAAGTAAAATATCTATGGAGGTATGGCATAACTAGATGTTCAATTCATTTATCCAGGCAGTTATTACTAACACTGCTTCATACAGATCTTCTAGGGAACCAGAGAATGCATGTGATGGGCAATCTTGCACAATATGTTTAATAATATCATCACCACAATCACAACAAGGGGAATCTGTCCATTCCCACTGATACAGGGCAGAGGCACTTCTTCCGGTATCATATTTAATTCTGTTCAATTTCACGCAGACAGAGTGAGGCAGATCAAAACCATGTGGTTTGGTAGAGGGATCACTAATGGTAAAGTTACAAGAAGGTACCTTGGACCATTCCTCTCTCCAGCCAATCTTGGGATTAAACTAAGTAGATGCTAAGTGAATAGCTGGTTTTCTGAGCTGACCTACAGGATTTCAATCTTGCGATAGGCTGTGTATTGCCCTTGTGAACAGAGAGGGCCTTGTTGTTCAGCATCCATGACCTTAGCCGAGTGAGAACTTGTTGTCTTCTAATGTGGGTTGGTATGATACTGCTAAGTGCTGGTAACCAGTGTACAAGAAAGGGATGCAATGTGCCAGAGATTATATGCATTGTCTGGTGGAGTTAGACATTGACCATTTGAGTTTGAGTGCTGTTAAGCCATAAGATGGCATAATATTCAGCTGTGGAATAAACCATAGCCAAGGGTATTAGCATCAGCACCCGAGGATGTTCCAGCCAGTCTGTTCAGTAAAGTATTGCAGTTTTTCAATTTTTCAGCTGTTTTTTCCAGGTATTGCTGAAAGGTTAGTGATCTATCCAGTATTACTCCCAGGTACTTCAGAGAGTTATTATATTGCAAAAGTTCACTGAAAGCTGGCAATTTGCATACCTATTGCTGAGGTAGAATGTGACCACTTCTGTTTTCATTAGGCTTGGTTGAAGGCACTATTTTTTTGAAGTAGTCATCCAGCTTCTGGAGATCTTGAGAGAAGATATCCCAAGATTATCCCAAGAAATATAATTCCAGCATGGAGTCTTTTCTTCCTGCAATGGAGAATGCCAAAGCTTTTATAAATATTGGTCCTTTGATGGGTCCAAATAAATAGACAACTTGTTGGATAGAAGGGAGAACTCTTGCATGCTTGTCACCATTTGGTACTGAAGGATTTCAGTTTTAAAGACAGAATGTATAGTAATCACGATGATGAAGCATGCATTCAAGACTGCATGGATTTTCACTGACATTTCTACATTAAGAACATTTTCAATTCAAATACTGAATTGATGAAATACTAGCACTGATAATGTTACCTAATTTGGGTAATGAAACATCTGCAATAAAACAACCAAGTTGAGAGAGCATCAAGGACCCTTCAATTCAAATATTTTAATATATCATCTGTGAAAAGTATAGTATAGGTGTATAGGTATGGAATAGGTGGTACCTTGCTCAACAGTAGTAACTGTGAGAGGGATCTCGGAGTCCTAGTAGACAATCACTTAAATATGAGCCAGCAGTGTGCTGCAGCTGCCAAAAAAGCCAAACAGACTGCTAGGCTGCATTAACAGAGGGATAGAATGAAGATCACGTGAAGTGTTAATACCACTTTACAATGCCTTGGTAAGACCACACTTGGAATACTGCATCCAGTTTTGGTCACCGTGATGTAAAAAAGATGTTGAAACTCTGTCTAGAACAGGGGTAGGCAACCCAAAACACTCAAAGAGCCACTTGGACCCGTTTCTCACCAAAAACAAAACACCGGGAGCCGCAAAACCCTTTTGATATCTAAAATAAAGATAACACTGCATATATCCTTTTTTACCTTTATTATAGGTGTGTGTGTGTGTGTGTGTGTGTGTGTGTGTGTACGTATGTACATACACACACACACACACACACACACACATTAAAAATAAAAGTAAAAATATGACTCTTGGGAATATCCATACTATTAAAACAATGATAAAGAGAATGCTTTAAGAGAATAAAATTACATACACACACAGGTAAAAAAAGGATATATACAGTGTTATCTTCATTTTAGATGTCAAAAGGGTCTCTCTCTCTCTCTGTCTCTTTCCCTCCCTCCCTCTCTATCTGCCCTTGGTCTGCCACTCCTCCTCCCCCACTCTCTTTCTTTCTCTCTCTTTCCTCTCTTTCCTCTCTCTCTCTCTCTCTCTCCCCCTCCCTCTCTCTTTCTCTCTTTCTCCCTCCCCCTCCTATCTGCTGCTCACCTGGCAAGCTTCAAGCTGTTCCCCAACAAGCTCAGGGGTAGGCAACCTCGTCTCTTTTATGACTCATGGACTTCAACTCCCAGAATTCCTGAGTCAGCCTAGCTGGGCTAGCTAGCTCTCTCCTGCCCTTCCTGCTTCCTGCTTCCTGCAGAGACGCAGCAAAGGGAGGAGCTCCGCCCAGTAAGCTTTTCAGCTCTTCGGAGAACACTGTGAGTGCACTCTCTTTTTTACACACACACACACACACACACACACACACACACACACACACACAGAGAGAGAGAGAGAGAGAGAGAGAGAGAGAGAGAGAGAGAGAGAGAGAGAGAGAAGCAGGGAAGCGCAATTGCCTCTCTCTGTCTGTCTCTGCAAAGGCAAAGGAGGCTGGGAGCCACAGGGGAAGGCTCAAAGAGCCGCATGCGGCTCCGGAGCCGCAGGTTGCCGACCTGTGGTCTAGAAAGAGTACAAGAAGAGCAACAAAGATGATTAGGGGACAGGAGGATAACACATAAAAGGAATGACTGCTGGAATTGGATATGTCCAATTTAAAGAAGAGGGGTGACATATCCAATATCTCAGGGGTTGCCACAAAGAAGAGGGAGTCAAGCTATTCTCCAAAGCACCTGAAGGTAGGACAAGAAGCATCGGATGGAAACTAAACAAGGAGAAATCAACCTAGAACTAAGGAGAAATTTCCTAACAGTTAGAACAATTAATCAGCCTGCCTCCAGAAGCTGTATATGCTCTAAAACTGAAAGTTTTTAAGAAGAGACTGGACAGCCATTTGTCTGAAATGGTATAGGCTTTCCTGCCTGAGCAGGGGGTTGGACTAGAACTAGATGACCTCCAAGATCCCAACTTCATCATCATCATCATCATCATCATCATCATCATCATCATTATTATTAAAACTTTCTAAGGGTTATTTCCATTTTGCAAAAGTGGATCAAAGGCAATGCCTCACTTGAATCAAGCTTGATTCTTAATGACTCTTGGCAGTAATATAGCAGAATTCTGCTGTTGCCTTCTTTAAGGAGATTTTATCAATTTTCATGTCTAGCTTAAAGTCTTGGATTTTCTGCTGAAAAAAGTACCAACTAGATCAAACCTCGCTTAGCTTTTCAAAAGCAATTGAAAAGAACCAATTGAAAAGATTCCAAAACAAGAGGATAAATACTGTAATTATCACAACTTGCCTCAATGTTAGTGTGTTAATGGAATGCATCTAAAACACTTCAAAATGAAAAGAAACAATTTAATCCAACTCTATTCCACGCAACCATACAAATTAAAGCATTCAAAACAAATGATTGTCTAAGGTCTAAACTCTATCTGAGCAGATACAATCTATCATTTTAGTATTTAGTATTTAGTTTTACTATCAAATTTCCAGTGTTTCCATGATCTTTGCCTTAACTTGCATCCAGAATCTATCTGCTGTTTATAACTTGAACCATTATTTCAAAACATAAGTCATACTCCTCTATATTTTATACTAATACTTGAAGCGGGTATGACATACTTTTTTTGGTCTTTTTTAAATTATTTCACTATGTGTGTGTGTCACAAAAAAGGCTCTCGCAGTATAGAGATCAGTTGTCCCCACATCACCGTATCAGGCAAATGGAACTGAGAGAAGATGGTTCCAAAGTAATTCAATTAACTTCCAAAAATAAGGATGGAATCCAACACTTCAACTATTCCATATTTTTAATATGTACTTCATTCTTGAGAAAAATGGATGAGACAAATTATATATACATATGTAAGTTTAAAGTCAATCAGATAAAAATAAAGAGCTCTGGGATGTAAGGTAAAAGGCTTTTTTTATTAATTGCTGAGCTTTTGTTAACAACCTGTTAACATCATCAGAGCAAAGAGCTAAATAAGAAGGGGGGAGTATGTGCATAAATTTACATAACAGTTAAACAACGGTTGCAGTGAGGCACGTGCACATAGCGTGCTTAAGAAGCTCTTAAAGGCATAAAGCAGTCAGTCTCAAGACCATTTTCAAAAGTCGCGCTTGTCAGCTGTTTGGCGTGTAGATCCAGCGCGCCTATCAGCTGTTTGGCGCGAGGTTCTTAGGGCTTCGTGCTCAGTCTTGTGCTGGCTGGATTCCTTCCATGGGGTGCAGCTTGGGGGTTCGTTTCGCTCTATTGCATGCAGGAGCTGCGGGATTGGATCTGTAGGGAGAGAAAGTAGATGCCCTCATGGGGCATGTGAATGATTTGCCTGCCCTCGCTCTCCCTTTTCAGGAAGCTGTGAAATCATCTGTTAAAGAAGCCAGCCTCTTGGATTGTATAGTTTCTTTGGTGTAGGGTTGCTGTGTGTGTGTGTTTCGTTGGGCATGGTCGCTTGGAATGTTTGTGTATGGTCATTTCTTATTAGTTCTGGGTGGTTTTGTGGTGTTTGGGAATTGGGCTGTAATATTTTGTTCCACTGAATGTGATAAGTCATATTTCATTGCAGGGGGGAGTTTTGGTCTTGGTCTTAATATTCTGCTGTTACTTAGGTGTTGTATGTGTATGTTTTGTTGTGTGTGAGTGTCTTGTGAGGTTGCAGGATTTGTGTTTTGGATGTTTGTGTCCTGGATGTTGTGGTCAGGGGGGTTGTTGTTTCTGTGTGTGAGAATATCAGAACGTGGTGTGTTGGTTGTGTGAGTTGTCATGGTTGTGTTAGAGTTATATTCTTTACTTAGGTTTGATGAAAAGGATTGTGTTGTAGAAAGCATATCTATTGTTTTGGTTTGGGGTTTGATAAGTGGGTGGGGTGGTGTTTTTGTGTTATTATTGGTTGGGTTGAAGTGTTTAGGTATTTTATGTTTTTGTAAATGTCTTTTTAGGGTTTGGTAAGGAGGTAGTAGGTCTATATGTCTATTAATAGAATAACAGTCTGAAAATCAAGCTTCTTTTAAAAGATGGCCTCCTTTGGTGGAATCATGAGGAATGACTTCTGCTCCTTTAAAGTTGAAAGTGTGGCCATGTTTAGCTATATGGGTCCAGACTTGGGAGCATTGTTCTTGTCTTCTTACTGCCAAAATATGCTCATATATTCTGGTTTTAAGTCTTTTTGATGTTTCTCCAATGTAGTTACATTGGCATATGTTGCAGTTGATCTTGTATACAATGGAGGACAAATCACTGGTTGGTAATGGTTCTTTGGATCGCATCAACTGGGAACGTAACATTTGGTTGGGTTTGTGTGCTATGTTGATATTGTATGGGGCAAGGATCCTGGCGGTTGCTTCTGAGACTCCATTGATGTATGGGATTGTTGCCCAAGTTGTATTAGTTGGAGCATTGTAATTTGAGTGTGGTGTCTTATCTTTGCAGCAATGTTTAATGAAAGTTGGTGGGTAATTATTTTGTTTGCATATGCTGAGAAGATATGCTTTCTCTTTATGTGCACATGCCTCACTGCAACCGTTGTTTAACTGTTATGTAAATTTATGCGCATACTCCCCCCTTCTCATTTAGCCCTTTGCTCTGATGATGTTAACAGGTTGTTAACGAAAGCTCAGCAATTAATAAAAAAAGCCTTTTACCTTACATTCCAGAGCTCTTTATTTTTATCTGATTGACTTTAAATATCCACACCTGGGATTTTAATATTCAGAATTATCAGAGACACATATGTAAGTGCACACATAATTGGTTACACTAATACGAACACATTTCCATTTTTATTTAAATCCATCAGTTTCTTACTATGAAATTTTGCATCCTGGATTGGCAACATTATCATTATTGCCTTATTGTCCCTTTCACAATTTGGTATTACTCAATGTTCCAGCAATGCATACATGTCTG